TAATAACTCAAAAAGTATACACTTTTGTGCTGATATGGTATGATTATTTAAAAGTAATATTAAAATCGGACCATTAGGAGTAAAGGTATGATCTCTAGATGTTTTTTATATCTTCTACTGCAAAGGTTATATCCTTTATTTTGTTTTTTGATTTTTGAATGTGTTACTCAAGTAATGCTATTATTTTTAGGAAATTACTAATGTTAAAAAAAAAATGTTTAGTCTAATAATTAGAATCATCTTTTATTTCTTTTTCTGTGTCACTAGAAAGGTAATGTTATTTTAGATTTATAATTGTTTGGAAAAAATAAACCATTGTATAATTATTTGCAGCATTTTTAATTTATGGAAAAACCAGTAGTTCCTCGTAATTATTGTTTTTTTTTTTTGTCATAAACATACAAAACATCCATCACGTTAGCGCAACTTAAACATCAGGTGTTCGTGGTTTCTTCCTGAGTTACCTGGAAGACAAGGACTCCATATCCTGGACTGGGATGACACACTCCGTTCCCACAGTCGTACTCCCAGTTCTTCTTCAAAGTCGCCGCTCAACCCCTTAGGCGAACTCTGGAAATAGTTTCTGGCTATTTATCACATCAAGTATTGCTCGGGGTGAGTTATTTCATTTCAGGTGTATTACGGTACTAATTTGAATAAAATTTCATTTCCTCAGTTTTATGGACGGAAGTGGAAACAGCAATCAACAGCTAAGAGGCGCATCGAGACTCAAATGGCATTTCGAACGTTAATTTATGTTGAAGGAATGAATTTACCTCTATAAGAATAAAACATTTAGAAACGAACAATTATTTTTTCTATTTCTGAGTAAAATATAATTTAAGAAAAGAATGGTTTATGATTTTTTAAAATGAATTATTAAAATTGTAGAAATGCGGTTATGGGTTCAAGATTTGAACGGAAACCTTGGACTTTGGACTCCAGTTTTATCCTTGAACACCCTTAACCGCTCTAATCAATCCTAGTTCTTAATTAATCCGTATCTATAACTAATCCTCAATCCTCATTTATAGTTTCGTAATACATCTATACTAGTTGGCCCGTGCGAATAATTCGCAGAAAATTTTGTTTAGTGAAGAAATAGAAAAAACAATATGGAAATAAGTAGTTCCAATGTATTATGTAAGGAAGGAATTAATATTATTTCCATAGTCGATTACAGTATTCTATTTAACATAATAGAGTAAATTGAGAAGGAGTTCTTTGGGGGGTGCGGTCAAATAAATACTAACTTAAAATATAGTAATTATTTAATTTTTGCCGACGTTTCGACCCACTTTGCAGGTCGTTTTCAGGGCGTAGGATGTAGCATTGGGTGTTTCAACTGCCTCCCGCAGTGCTACATCCTACGCCTTGAAGACGAACTGCAAAGTGGGTCGAAACGTCGGCAAAATTAAATAATTACTATATTTTAATTTAGTATTTATTTGACCGCACCCCTCAATTAACTCCTTCTTATATTATATCAACGGTCAACCATCTCTACATCAATAAAGTAAAATATTTATGCAAATTGCTTTGCTAAGACCTATTTTCAAAACGCTGAATGGAAAGTAATAAAGACAAAGTAATTTCCCCGATCATGAGATTTTCTAAATTATTAAAAAAAATAAAATGTAAAAACAATCAAATGCCTTTAAGAAATAATTTTTTTTTTCATATTTTAGATAATAAAACATTCAATTTTCTTCATATTTTTTTTTATTTATGCTTGTTGTCTCTTACGTTTCGGGACAATTTTCCCATTATCAGAGTAATATTTTTATTTTTACATTATTTTGTTTGATGTGGCACCATTTGTCAAAAATTAAATATTTGTCACATTTTTTAAAAATTATTTGGTGTTACACATCTGAGATGTTGATTAGTGTATCAATGAATATGTGTAACACCAAATAATTTTTAAAAAATGTGACAAATATTTAATTTTTGACAAATGGTGCCACATCAAAAAAAAGAATGTAAAAATAAAAATATTACTCTGATGATGGGAAAATTGTCCCGAAACGTAAGAGACAACAAGCATAAATAAAAAAATATGAAGAAAATTGGAAGTTTTATTGCCTAAAATATGAAAAAATTATAAACGTAAGCTTCCTAATAAAAAAAGAAAAATAAGAAGATAATATATATATATATATATATATATATATATATATATATTATATATATATATATATATATATATATATATATATATATATATATATAATCTTCTTATTTTTCTTTTTTTATTAGGAAGCTTACGTTTATAATTTTTTCATATTTTAGGCAATAAAACTATTTTAGGCAATAATATATATATATATATATATATATATATATATATATATATATATATATTATATATATATATATATATATATATATATATATATATATATATATATATATATATATATATATTAAAGCTTATTTATTGAAAAATATTACAATCTGTCTCTAGGACATTTATAATAGTGATCACAGATCATATTCACACTCTATGTACAGTAAATAAAATAAATTAAGAAATTATAAAGTTAATATATCAGCCAGAAAAAAAAAGTGTAGTAGACTATTTTACTCCTAAATGCAATATCTTTAAAGAGGAAGACATTATAAAGTATACCAAAACTAATGGACTGTATCTTTTTTTAATAATTTTCGCTTTTTTTGTAATTATGGGTAATTTAGTAATCTTTCTAATTATCATAGGGACAATCAAGAAAAAAATGCATACTTTTTGAGTTATTCGCAAATTCGCATAATTTTTTTTCCGCAGAAATTTCGGGAGAATAGGACTGACTGTTTTTCACTAGTGAAGGAGAAGAATATCTTCAAAATGAGTGGTCAATCATTGAATTTGATGAAGAATTGACGAAGTTATGGCGAACCGACAAAAAGACACCTTTTAGAAATAATATATAGGATAGAAGAGGTGTGTTGAGATACTCGTCATGGCAACGACTTTTCATTGTTTTTGCCTACCGTTAACTAAAAAATTTATAACTCCTCAGAATTTTATTCTAATTCAATGTTTCTTCAACCGTTGCAAAACTGAATTATCGTTCTTCAAGAGCGTATAAATAACTTTTTGATTTAACACGTCTATAAAGAGTAAATTAATAAAAACTCCTAACAGGTTTTTATTTTATAACTTGAGTTCTAAATTATTTATGGGAGTACAGTTTGTGTCATTTCGTGTAGTTTATAAGGCCCTATATCCCTGCAAAATTTCGTGTGAATAGGTACAAGCATATTGAAGTTATCACACTTTTTGTGATTTTGGAAAAAATATTAAAAGAGGGGGGGAGGGTCTAAGGTCAAATTTGTAGAAAAAAAATTTATTTTTCGAGTTCAATGAAAATTCGTATTCGAGGATCTAACGTGATGTAATAAACAAATCTCAACTCTGTTTCTATTTAAAAAATATTTCAACACACTTTACTCCTTCCGTCAATACAAACTGTTTGAATTATAAATATTTCTAATAGATTTTTACGTTTTTTTTTTGTTTTCTAATTGTAGGTAATTGATTAATCTTTCTAATTATCATGGATAGAATCAAGAAAAAAAATGCATACTTTTTGAGTCATTCGCAAATAAAGTTTCTTTTCCTTCATAGCTTTTTTTCCCTAGAAATTTCGGGGGGATAGGACTGTTTTTCACTTGTGAAGGAGAAGAATATCTTCAAAATGAGTGGTCAATCATTGGATTTGATGAAGAATTGACGAAGTTAAGGCATACCGACAAAAAAAAAAAATTTAAAAATAATATATAGGATAGAAGAGGTGTGCTGAGATACTCGTCATGGCAACGACTTCACTTTTCATTGTTTTTGCCTGCCGTTAACTAAAACATTTATAACTCCTCAGGACTTTATCTTAATTCAATGTTTCTTCAACCGTTGCAAAACTGAATTATCGCTCTTCAAGAGCGTATAAATAACTTTTTGATTTAACACGTCTATAGAGAGTAAATAAATAAAAACTTCTAACACGTTTTTATTTTATAACTTGAGTTCTAAATTATTTTGGGGAATACAGTTTGTTTCATTTCGTGTAGTTTATAAGGACCTATATCCCTGCAAAATTTCGTGTGAATAGGTACAAGCATATTGAAGTTATCACACTTTTTTGTAATTTTGGAAAAAAATATTAAAAGAGGGGGGGGGTCTAAGTTCAAATTTGTAGAAAAAAATTTTATTTTTCGAGCTCAATGAAAATTCGTATTCAAGGATCTTTCGAGCTCCAAAATACAAATCTCAACTCTGTTTCTATTTAAAAAAATATTTCAACACACTTTACTCCTTCCGTCAATACAAACTGTTTAAATTATACATATTTCTAATCGATTTTTACGATTTTTTTTTGTTTTCTAATTATAGGTAATTGATTAATCTTTCTAATTATCATGGGTAGAATCAAGAAAAAAAAAGCATACTTTTTGAGTTATTCGCAAATAAAGTTTCTTTTCCTTCATAGCTTTTTTCCTCCAGAAATTTCGGGGGGATAGGACTATTTTTCACTTGTGAAGGAGAAGAATATCTTCAACATGAGTGGTCAATCATTGAATTTGATCAAGAATTGACGAAGTTATGGCATACCGAAAAAAAACAAAAAAAAAAAAAAACGCCTTTTAAAAATAATATATAGGATTTTCATTTAACATCAGTTATATTATTTAATGAATAATAAAAATATCCAGGTATGGCTTCTATACTTTTACTAAGTAAGAGAACTAATTAATAGGGTGTATAAAAAAAATAACCGTAAGATGACAATATAACATATTATTAAATAATATTGTATTAATAAATATAATGAAAAGTAATGAGTGTAATAAGAAGACGGAGATCCGGACAAGCTATTTTGGTCCTACTAAGTGGTGACCTCATGGCAGTTGATTTGCAATTGCTGAACATCGATAATCATTTAGCCAGTTCGTTATCGATATAAAGCCTATAATGATAAATCGATTTATTATTCAGCTGGCGACTAGAGTGAAGCTAATAAATCCAGCTGTTCTAGGAAGTTCGGTGGGCTCCTTCCCAAATTTCCAACTTTAGTGGATTTGTTGAGTGGGCTCACGTGTTGCATACCAACTCTTCTATCCAACACAGGATGTCCATGGTGCTTTGTTCTCCAAACGGGTTTAGGAATCCTTCCAACTCTGGATGGAATCTATAATAGATTACAATGGAAGTTTGAGAATGTCCAACACGAATGAATTAGTTCGAAATAGTTATGAAAAGAAAAAAACTCATCTAACTAGTTGAGGGAGAGAGTGGATGATGGATCTCTCTTCTTCGCCAAAAACGTCTCGGGTAATCGAGATATTTATTACAAAACGAAATTATAATACTATAGTGTATGTACAATTAGTCCAGTAAAGTAAGATATTGATCTCAACATTAAAAAATTAAGATGAAACTTGTCAAAAATTGTTTATTATACTGTCCATAAAACTGGTAAACAATCCTACAGAATCCCACGTCGGATTTTGATTGGTGGGGGGAGGGGGAGATGATTACTTTCGGAAGATTTTTCAGTAGAATATTAAAGTACTTTCTATAAAAATGATTTTATTATTTTTCCGATGAAAAATAAATATTTACGGAGATATTTATGAGAATAGAATAGAATAGAATTTATTTGTTAAAGATTATTTTACAATCTTGTACAAATTATACATATATGAATAACTTTATTTCACCTACATGAGTCTAGTTTATCCTAACTGTACATTGACTTATTATAAAAACAATAACTAAACAATAATACTTCATTACATTCCAATTAATTTCTATCTACATTATCAATAAAACCAAAAAATAAAAAAGAAACAAACAATTAATTGAACTGACCAACAATTATCCTTAGTCATAGCACTTGGTTGGTGTGTGGAACATCAGAGCTTAAGGAATCCAGTGAATTGCACGCTGACATTATGAACCAGTAAACCTTGTTAAGTTTCTCTATGTTATCGATTCGAAGTATGTCTTGTATCTTGTTTACATCACTTGGCGCAGAGAGAAATGCTCGTAAATGTTTGTGTCTGTCGTCTGTTAGCTTTTCACAGTACAGAAGGATATGGAACAGGCTGTTAGTAATGAATTGGTTACAGAAAGTGCAGGTTTCCTGGGCTTTGAAGTAGAAACTTTTGTTTTTCGTATAGAGCTTAATTAATTCGGGATTTGAAACCCTTAGCTGACTTATTGATCTTAGCTTTTTCCTGTTAGCTCTATACATCAAATAGGACTCTGGGCTGGAAATATTGAAGCTGGAAATAGTTCTATATATGGGATTGTTGTTGGAATTTATCGATAAATGGATGTCCTCAGATAGGTTATGGTTTTTTAGATTTTCCAATATTTCATCGCTGTATTTTAATAATCCAGTTGGGTATACTTTATCGAACTCTTCTTTACACCCATAATGATCAGCTATTGATCTGGCTTGTGTGATCCAATTAAAGTTTATATCAGGATATTTATGAGAATATAATTATTGTATTCCCACTTTAAGCAAAAATTATTTCAAACCACAAAATTGGTGTTGTTCATAGTAGACTATAGCTTTTTGAAGTTTGAACTAGTTTTTTTAACATTTTCACGAATTATAGTCGATATCAATCAATGAAAAATTTCATGATAATGATAGCTTTAAGTCTATATTAAAATGTGATTTGTTACAGAATAAGTTGAGATTTATCTCTATTCCAGTTAAAGGATGTAAAAATATTTGGGTCGATTCCTAATTTTTCCGTAGTAATAATATTTTTACTAACTTAGAGAAAATGTAAACTCAACTTAATTAATATAAATGTAAAGCTCATCAAACAAAGTTATTTTTCTGAAAGTGTGGTATCTTCAGAGAAGTTGTGGGTTATGAAAAAAAAAATGGGAAGAATCCTAGATTTTATGAAAAACCCAACTATTTTAAGAAAAACCGAAAACCGAACCGTAGTTTAACTGCTTAAAATTCCTCTTTAAAATATTTTAAGAAAGAAAAAATTTACTTGGAAATTTAATCTATTTAGTTTACTATGAAGTAATTGTTTGTAACCCGAATTAAACATGTTTTTTTGTTTTTTATTCAAAATAAAATACCTCATTTGTCAACGTGGTTGGCTTAAAAATTATTAAGTTTAAGTTCCCTAGTTCCCTGAATGTAATCAGACCATGGTTTACGATAACTATTTATAACTTTCATGTCTTCTGTCACATATCAATTATAAACTTATGATAGGAGAGAAGATTGGTTGGAGTGATCAGTCAAAAAAAAAAAAATGTAAAAATGAATATTACAGTTATTTTTATTTTTGTCGACGTTTCGGCCTAAAGTTCAGGTCTCCATCAGGGCAAACGTAAGGTTTCCTCAAGACCAATAACCAAGTTCCAAGTTCGTTTGACAAGCACTAATGAAGGCCTGAACTTTGGGCCGAAGCGTCGGCAAAAATAGAAATAAATATATTTATTTATTTTTACTTTCTTTTTTTTTACTGACCATCCCAATCAATCTCATCTTCAATTATTCTATGATAGTTTGTAAGGCTTAAGTTATTTTATTTTCCTAATGGTTCATTACAAATATTAGTGAGGATGAATGGGAATGCTTCAGATTATTTGGGGGACGCGCCCCCCTCTAGCCAGTAGAATCTATATTATAGATTCCATTAGCTATTTCCATATTTTCCCTTCTCTACCTTAGACCTTCTTACCACAGGACTCCTTCACTTCGCTTTTCCTTGTACCGGTACTGGTTCATGGCTGCGCAAGGTCTTCATTACCCTAGAGATTATAAGCAGTTAGGCGAGAGTGCGCTGTAATTCCGATCGTACCCGGCGAGGACAGGTAATGGTTCAGTAATGACAAACCTGAGTAGCCGTGACCTCTATCCGTGTCCTAGGTTCTTCAGGATCGGTTTGTAGTCTTTTGCAGGATTATCAAGGTTTCGTTATGTATACTGGGTGTTCTGTAAATAATAATAAATATAAGTTCATATTGCTCTACAATGGACTTAGTCTGTAACAAATAATAATAACTAGTTGGCCCTCACATACCTAATAATTGTATCTGATTTTAATACATTAGGGTGTCAGCACAACTTCCATTAAATAATGTTTAATACACAAAGGATCATATATATTTTGTCCGACTGCTACAACCCTTACTAGACAAACGCTCTAAACTTTCAATTAATTACAAAAGACTCATCTACTTAACCACAGTAAGACCTATATGGACATACGGAGTTGAGCTTTGGGGCTCCACCAAACCATCGAATTTCTATCGTATCCAATCCTTACAATCCAAAATCCTTCTTAAAATCCTTAATGCCTCATATTTCGTCACAAATTAAACCATTCATAAAGACCTTAACGTTCCATAGCCTGATCGAGATACCTATCCATTCATGATAAACTCCAGTCCCATCTGAATCCACTTGTTTCTAGCCTTGCTTCTTCCTCGATTCCTGATAATCCCCCTAGGCGTCTGAAAAGAAGATGGCCTCGTGATCTTCTCACGTAGAATTATACAGGGATTGCTACCACTGGGCAGTATCTCTTCAAGTCTGTTTATGTCATTATTTCTAATGTGTGCATTTTTACTAGTTGTGTTGTTTATACAATTGTAAATTTCATTAAATAAATAAAAAAAATATATATTTTGTAAGTTATCTGTTTATAAATAGGATTTACAATCTATTATGGTTTAACCATTGAAAATCATTAATCTTATAATTTAAATATTAGTTTTTCCCTCCATCAGATTATCAAAAATTAACAAATGCTTCTAAACATTACTTTAAGCATCTGATGGCGGCAAAATCCTCCAATTCTCAGGGTGGAATAGCTAGTCCAATCACAATGCATATTACATCATCATTAAAAAAAAAATCGAAAGTTTATTTTAAAAATGATAAACTACAATAATAAAGATCTAAAAGTAAATGCAATTGTAATCGAACCGCATTTAAAACAGTTTGCCGAGTAAGGTCAGTATAGCTTCCTCGCCGTTTGCATTGGTTAAAATATTACAAGGTATACAATTTTTCGTATGAGAATAAAATCTCTCATAAAATTTCATATTTTATTGTCCTTTGCTATTTTCCATAATAGCAGACTATTTATATCAGTTGCAGACTACAAAATGTAACCTTTAGCACAAATAGAATACAAGTTATAAATTTTGACATGAGAACTTTTGCACTAATAGTAGCGATATATACTTAATAGATACATTTTCACTCGTAAAATGGATGGAACTAGAAAATCCATAGGAAAAATTCAACTTGGTGTTTTAGGAAAAATGTGCCTAGTTGTTATTTGTGTTTCCATAGCCTTGACGAAGGAATGAAAATTTATGCTAAAACGTCTGCACAAAATAAAATATTTTTTTGTAAGTATTTTTCATTGTGACTATTATCTTACTCCATTGAAGGTTTTGTAATTTTTGGTTTATTATTTTCAATAATCAACTATTGTGATCTACCAAAAAATTCAAAAACTTAACCTCCTCTCAAAATTTGAGATTTCACGTTTCACGATGCGTAGAATTCGAAAATCGAATAAAAATGTTTTTATCCGTCCTCCGTCCGCCGTACGCGGTCCGCACATTTTCTCCGAAACTACTGGACCGATTTTTTTCTAATTTGGATATAAAATCAGAGGTCACCCGAGGATGATCTTCCTTCATCGAAATTACCATCCGTCTTTTACTTTCAAAATGGCGGCCGAAAAACCTTCGTTGCTATAGACTGTAGCTTCTAAACGAATGTACCGATTTCAATGAAACTTCGCTAAAGTTGTTTTCTCGACGCCCATTAAATTTATCTATATAACATACTTCAACGAAAAGAAGCTGGAAAAAAAGTTACGAGGGATGGTGAAATTAAATTCCGAATAACTCAAACAGTTTACACTTTTTTGTAGGTATTGTATATTGTTTTTTAAAAGTTTACGAAATTTTCTAAAAAATCAAAACAAAATCGTTAAAATCGGACAAATAGGAACAAGGATATGGTCTCTGGTTTTTTTTTTTATATGTTCTACTCCCAATGTTATATCGTTTGTTTGGTTTTTAAATTTTGAATGTGTAATGCTATTTTTTTTTTTTTTTTAGCATATTACCAATGATTAAAAAAAAATTTAGTCCAATAATTGGAATCACCTCTTATTTATTTTTCTTTGTAATTATGAAGGTAATGTTACTTTAGATGTATAATTGTTTGGAAATAATAAACCATTGTGAAATAATTTGCAGTGTTTATTTGTTTTTTAATAAATTCCTCCTAAGTACTGGGTTGGCAAATAATTCCTTTCGGTTTTCAGTTTATTTGTATGTCTCTATGATACACTTTTTATCTAAAGAATTAATCCCTAAGATGGATTGTTTATCCTGTTTGTAATATGTCAACAAGTGTATCTGTTAACTCTTTTTGAAACTAGCTTAGTATGGTGTTTGCTATTGCACTTTGAATATGGAAGAAAATATCATTCATTGCGTTTTCCTGCCATGAGCTTGACAATAAGCAGATGTGCTGTAACTAATAAGAAAACTTGACATTTCAGGCATGAGGAACAAAATATAGTACCCAGCAATACTTCTTCATGGTCTTGATTTATTTCCTTGATTGAGAAAAGGAGATCTCTTATCCTGCTCCTCTTTAGTCGTCTCCTGATAGGCATGTCAGCTGTGTCCATGTCGTTAATATATAATATAATTTATGTATATATAATTTTTAAATCAATTTTTTTTTTTACTATAACACCTTAAATTAATATTCTAAATGATTTTACATTGTGATTACTTTTGCTCTATTTGATATTTCTCTTCATTAAGCCTTAGTGGTATTGGATTTATTTCGATTCTAGGAAACTCATCAAGTTAATACACACTCATTGTGTATAGCCACCTTTTCCAAGCTTTCTATAACCCGCATTCATTTTACTGATTAAATTTCAAATTGTACTCACTCCCGTGAGCGCTATTAAAGATATTAGTGATATTAGCCGAGAACTGGAAATGGAGGCCACACACCAACCTGGCATTAAGCGCTCACCCCTGAGTCAGCCGGAGAGCTGGGTGGAGTCCATGTTTTGCTTTGCAGATCACAAGATTCCATCCGCTCTTTTCTGTATAATAATGAAGGATTTCATCTTATTCACTTTTAGAATTTATTCATCATCGATAAGAATTTTCAATAACAATACTCTGTTTTTAGTTAGTATTTGCAATTATAATTTAATCCAAATACATAATTACTATCCTTATCCTATATAGTGGGTTGGAAAATAATCCCTTTAGGATTTCCAGGATGAACTAAAACTCAATGTATTATAGACATAAAATTTATTTTAATCTGGAATACATTGACTATTATTTAATATTACTTTTTCCCATTTTTACACTAACAGCATAATGTTCATACAATTTTCGGAGTTTATTGTTAAAAAACTGATCCAAGTGGTTTTTGATAAACCCTTCCTTTTGGAATTTCTTTCCATTCTGCAGAGACCGGAATAAGTGGTAGTCGCTAGGAGCTAGGTCTGGTGAATAGAGAGAGTGAGGCAAAAGGTCCCATCCAAGTCTAAATAATTTATTGCGAGTGACAAATAATTCTTCAGGATGTTTTCAAAATTCGATGTTACTATGTCCATTACAAAGCTGAATTATTGTTCTTCAAAGCCGTTTGTATGTTTTTTTAATTATATTCCTACATAAGGAATAAATAAACAAAAAATAAAGGTTTTTATTTGTTATCTCCATTTGTAGTTTGATTACGAAGGTTCCGTTGATGTCATTTTGTATAGTTCATGTGGCCCTAAATTCCTGCTATATTTCTTGAAGATAGCTAAAGTTGTATAGAAGCTTTTTGTGAATCACGAAAAAAAATCATGTGAGAGACCCGAACATTAAGCCTAAAAACATAGCAAAAATTGTACAAATAGTTTTCTACGCTTTAGGGCCATAGCAATCTCTCTCTCTAATTGGGTGGGATTTTGATCAACAATGGCCTTAACATTGCTCGTTTAAATTTCATGTGGAAACAGCTGTTGATGTTAAATAAGGTGAAAGGTTAATTTAGTTTTGTCTTCCAAAAATGTGTTAATTAAGTGTAAATACTTAATTTTTGTGTAATAAAAGTGTTTTATCAAGACAAGATTGCTAAGGACAAAACACCAAACAAAAATTGAGCGGATTTCACCGCCAACAATGGTGGAATCATCTCAAACTGAGGTAAGTAACATGAACTTTAAAAACAGTGATATAAACAATGAAGACGGCTCCTGGAAACTGGTTATTGGTCGTAAAAGACCTATGATAGATTCGAGCGAGCCAAGAGCTCAAAAACGACCGACAGAATCTATCCCAACCTCGCACAGTTTTCAGGTTCTAACCAACATAACTAACTTAAAAACAGAAAAAGTTAGAAGAACGCCTCAAAACGATAAAACTCTACCAATTTTTATAAAAGGTGTTGAGAATTACCATATATTAATCTCATTTCTAGAAAACGAAACGGGTCCTAATATGTTTAAAACGAAGTCTACATTGAAAGGTGTCACTGTGTACCCAGAAAATCCTGACGTTTATCGAAAATTAAATTCTAGCCTGCGAAATAAAGGTGCCGACTTCCATACTTACCAACTTCCACAGGACAAATGTCCAAGGATTGTTGTTAAACATCTTCACCATGGAACACCAGTCGATATCATTAAAGAAGAATTTAAAAAATTGGGTTACGAAGCCACCAATGTAGTTAACGTCATATCTCGCTTTAAAAAACCCCTTCCTATGTTCTTTGTGGACATTACAAAAGAGACATTTAGAGAAGAAATTTTTAATGTTGAATTTCTATATTATTCGCATATTAAAATTGAGGAACCGCGTCAAAAGAGAAATATTCCTCAGTGTGTTCGGTGCCAGCAATATGGGCACACTAAAACTTATTGCAACCATCGACCACGA